TATGGTATATATTCACTATATTTTCGATATATGATAAAGAAAATTATCGCGAGACATAATTTTTATGTATAAAATTAGTTTATATTTAGCATAAACTGATTTTTGTTGTTGTTGTTGTTGTTGTGTATATGTATGGTTTATATTAAGTAAGTTGTTATAATATGTTTTTAAAATATATATATACTTTTATGTATAAAAGAAAGAAAGAGAGGAAGATAATTTTTTGATGGAAGACATTTTCTTCCGTGCAACATTCCTGAATATAGTAACATATACGCAATATATACCACATGACAATTGCGTGAAATGGAATTCTAGTTGCGTACATATACTGAATATATACTAGCATATACTCAATATATACCATCTGACAACTGCGTGAATTAAAGAATTCCAGCTGTGCATATATACTGAATATATACTAACATATACTCAATATATACCACCTGAGCTGCGTGAATTAAAGAATTTCAGTTACGAAGAATTAAATGAGTTAGTTATTTATTATAGGCACGTTTTTTCATTTCTCTCTCTTAATAAATTCCATAAAAAAAAGAGATGAATGTTGAAGATTATAGTAACTGAATTTAAGCATTAATATTACTTATTACCTATTAGGTATGTTTGTAATTATTTGTTTATGGATTGTATATTTGCAATATTTTTAGAATCATGTAGGATAGATAAAAATTTCCCATGTATTTATATGTAGATCAATGGTAAAAAAGTCCATGTGAACAGTACCCACGTGAGCAACATCGAATTTTCTCTACCAAACATAGTCTCGATACAATTTTTAAAATAAGGGTTGTTCGTTTTTGCTATCCAAGTTCATTGGCCCACAGCAACATAAAAACCAGTTGCAGTCCCACTCCAAATCCATTGGCTGCCCCTTTTCTGTTGGTGAAAAAACCACCAGTTTCTTTACTAATAATTGCTAAAACCCACCCAAACTTTTTTCCCAAATATATATATATCACAACTCCCCCAATTTCTCCATCAACACACTCCAAACAGCACACAACTCTGAAAAGGAAAAAATGAGTTCGAGAAGCAAAGCCTGGTTAGTGGCAGCGAGCATTGGCGCAGTTGAGGCCATGAAGGACCAATTGGGCGTCTGCAGATGGAATTACAGTCTGAGATTACTGCAGCAACATGCCAAGAACAATGTTCGGACGTTTTCTCAGACGACGAAGATCTCCGGGCAAACTTCTGGTGTGGTTTCGAATAAAATGAAGTCGGAGCAGTCTGAGGAGTCTCTTAGAAAAGTCATGTACTTGAGCTGCTGGGGTCCCAATTAGGCCCCGGCGTAGATTTGTAACAAGATTGAAGTTAAATAGATTGTGTTAATTGGATCTTGATTTAATTTTGGGTTTGGAATCACAGAGACCGTATAGCAAGCAATTTAATTATCTCTCACAATAATATCAAATGAAAATAAATAGGGTCTTCAATTCAGCAAGCATCTAACACTAGAGCATCTCCAACCGAATACACCAAACTCAAACCCATTTTGCAGTACACATCCCATTTTGCAGTAATTCATCTCCAATCGAAAAACCCATTTTCCAACCCAAAAGAATATTCTCGGAATATTTTCTTTTACATCAACTTTTATAATTTTTCAATACTACACACATATTTTACAATTTTACAATTATACCACACTTTTATTTTTCAATTCAATTTAGAATTTATGTAATAAAATCGTAGAAATAAATAGTCATTAAAAATAAAAATTAAAATTAAAAATTAAAAAATAAATAGTCATTAATAATTACAACACACAAGATAAAATTAAAAAACTACAACGAACAAGATGAAAAAATTAAAAATTACAACACACAAGATGAGAAATTAAAATTACAACAATCAAGTAAAAATAGATAGTCTTCCAAGTCTCGAAATTGGTGAATTCCTCCCACAGATGATCAATTAGTGCATTTCGAAGTGCAATGTGATATCTTTATTTCTAATTTTTATAAGATAAAGATTTTTTTAGTATTTTACATTATTATTGTGAATAAATTAACATTAATATGTATAATTACTCTATTATGAACAAATATAAAATAATATCATATTAATTATTTTAAATATCATATTATATAAATTTCATGAAAGTAAAAAAAAAAAGAATTTTTTTTGTATTCTTTAAACTTAATTTTCTATTTATAAGATTGTTTATTTTATCCTTTTTACTATTTAAAAACTAAAGAAAATAAAAAAAAATCAGTTTCTATAAATTAAATAAACCTAAAGGACCAAAATGTAAAAAAAAAAAGATGGAACGCATAATTTGCGTTCCGACGCAAATATGCGTCGATCTGAGGAGAGAGAGTGTGGAGATCGCAATTTGCGATCGGTTTTTGGCATCGATTGGAGCTTCCCGTACTGCAAATTTTGCGTTTTGCAGTACGGTTGGAGAAGGTCTTAGAAAATGAAATGCGTCGCCTCTTTCCACCTAAGAGGAGGATTAATTATTAATGAATCAACTTGTTCATTGTTTTGAAAAAATGTTGTCCAAACTTAAAAAATCCGGAGTGCGCTAAGTAACGTACGAACTTAAATAAGAATTGTAAATTGTGGAAGCAATAGACCGAATATTTAAGAACTCTTCACAGAAGCATCTCACTTCCACTCAGAGCTCTTTCATTGATAAATTGTACATTGACATAGTTTGGACTTACAAGACTCGAACTCCCTTCTAGTCTAACCACAACTATTCACGATCCTATCAACTATTTCTCCGGCCACGTTCCGTAGACTTTTTAACCATTTACTCCCTAAGTGTAAAACACAAAAAATAGTTTGAGTAAAATTAAGAAAACCAAACTAAAACAGCTTCAGTTCTAGATGCATAATGATATAGCATAGAGAATTTTTATGAAGACCGATGGAGATTGGTTTGGTTTATTGGTAGAGCAGATGTCGGCTCGATTTATGGGCCAAGTAGATGTGATTTAGTAGGGAGCGGACTCGGGCCTGGCCTAATAACAGTTAGGGTGAAGCGTACGGGTAAGCAATGAAGTGATATATAAATAGGAGGATCTTATGTCTGGAAGGTATGAGTTTTTACTTTACAAAACCCTAAACATATATACTGCGCTCTTCTTGTAACCCTACTAACTTAAGCATCGGAGGTCTACCGCCGGGAACATTCCCGGCGTCTTTGCAGGTTTGCGGTAGCTTAAGCCGTGGAGGGACTTGAGGAGTCGGTCCAAGGTGCACGAGCACATCACATAAGAACCCTCGAACTGAACTGTGTACAAAACTGAACAGATATCTCAAGCTCGAATATTGCTCTATATTAATTATTTTCTTAGCAGCCACAATAAGAGCTTCTCATAGGGTATTTATATAAACTCCTTAGGGTTGGAGTCTTCTCCAAGAATGGGACTCCTCACATGATTTCCTTCCTTGTATGTAGCAAGTATTTTGGTAAGTTGATCTCCTCTTCCCTCTCCAAGATCTCCTAGTCACGCATCTCTCTCTCTCTCTCTCTCTCTCTCTCTCTCTCTCTCTCTCTCTCTCTCGGTTTCCACCTATTCCCGATTTCCTACAAAAGAAGATACCATAATAAGATCCATGCAATCTTATGTATGGAATACAAAATAAACTAAGTATGGAAATAATATAATATAAAGATCTTTCATTTTTCTGTGGTTCCAGGTGCTTGTTCGAACCAGCGAACTAATGCCAAACAAAAAATATCTTTCAAATCTGATGTGCTCTCGAACTGGCTCTCCATTGTTTTTAAACCGATTTGCTCCTCGAAAAAGCCGGGATACCTCCCGACGTAAAACTTTCGACGATCAAGTAAAGGGCTATGAAAATTTGTATGTAAAATGTATGTGATGGTATTGTAAAGCTTAGAAGAGTTTGTAATGTCATTAACCTCTACCATTCATACGTCTTTCCTATTTATATTGAATCCTTGGCTTCTTGGACAAGATTTGCGTCTTGCTTGTTTATATTGAATTATTGGCTTCTTGGACAAGATTTGCCCTACCATGTTTCCCGAAGCCTGTCCCATGTACCCCGACTGCCCGATGGCCTGCCCGATAGTTTATTGGTTACTCTTAGGTCTGCTCGAGACCCATTTTTATCTGTATAATTATCTAGATCTTTACCGCATAACCATACACGTGACCACATCAATAGGTCCTCCTATCCTATATCCATAAGTCTTCTTACTCTCTTGGTTTCCATAAGTCCCCATCTGGACTAAGTCCCCATAGGTTGACTTATACCACATGAGTCCTGATGTAGCACTCAGAATAACTCTAATATGTTTATAATAGCTATCCGGCCAAGTAGCTTGTGTACGGGATTAAGGTACCGATCGACCTAAAGAAGAGGGCCGAGCTCGAAAACACAACCGAATATTGAGATCGTGACCTCAGGATAAGGTCAGGCTCGACATCAGGTAAGTGTTAGGGTATACTGTAAACGCTCGACTTTCAGTTTCTGACAATATCATTTTGAATGAGAATCATGTTTTAGTAAAGTATTTGTGTTTGTACTTTATTTATTTGTTCGACCATAAGTTCCTTTATTTTACATTGTAGATAATATGATTTGATGTGTCGAATAGAAAGATCATACAATCAGTTCCTTGTAAAATATAAATAATTTATTCACAACCTCAACAGAGTTGAACAATCTGTTGTGAATAGCTGTAGTGTAATTTTGATTCGGTTGATTTTTGGTTGATGAATTACACTAGTACATCTTGAGTGTATTGAATGGACATACGGAGGATAAGATTATTTTATACTGACCAAATAAATAATCTAAACCTCAGTAATTGATGCATTCTCTTAACCAATGAGATAAAAAACGGGTATATGTATTCAACATTTATTTGTTTGATTTACCAAGAGAGATTCTTATTTTAATTAAGATGACATACTCGGTATTTTGGTAAATAATATTTACATGATGTGTCGCTGAAATTGTTTACGGTCACTATTTTCTGGTCCGCCAAGTTGATGACGTCCCCGAAATAAGCTTAGGAAGGATTTTTATGTTAAGCCCTACAGACGGATTAATTTTCTGACATAATAAATAAGAAATGAGTGTGCTAAATTCAGATAATAATAAATAAATTAATTTTATTGTCGATAATTAGATTAATGGACGTTAAATCTTAAACGCATGGTGGTTTGTGGATACTTGGCAGAAACTCTAGATCATGGCTTAAGATTTTTTAAGAACTCATCTTTCAAAATTTCAGTATTTGCAGATGCTGATTTGGCCTCAGACATAGATGACATGATTTCAACATTTGGTATTTGTGGATTCTTGGGGAAGAATCTGGTTTCATGGAGCTATATGAAGCAACATCTGGTGGTGTCCAGGTCAAGCACTGAATCAAAATAAAAAATCCTTACCTCAACCACTTGTGAAGTAATTTGGCTTCAATATTTATTAAGAGAGCTGCACATTGCTTCTCAGAATCCATCAGTTGTTTAGGTTGATAATCTTGGTGCCATTTCGTTGGCCTCAATTATTGTTCATCTTGGACTAATCATGTTGAAATTGATATGCACTTTATTAGGGATAAGATGGATCACAAGATCATCTCTGTCAAAAATGTTCCTTCTTTATTTCAGGTGGCTGACATTCTCACAAAACCATTAAGTGGTCAATTCTTCAACTGGCTGCGTCATTCCCTTAATGTTCGTTCACGTCATTTCCTTAATGTTCGTTCACACTCAATCTTTGAATTGAGGGGGGCATAAAGGAAGAATACAACAATAACAACAACCATGTCAGTCGTGTAACAACAACCATGTCAGTCGTGTGATCCACCTCAGCTCACTTTAACACCTTGGCTCACCTCATCTCCAATAGGCTGCAGTCCTGACCCACACGACAACTCAACATGCACGACCACATGCATGATGCATGCAGCCAAAACCAAGCCAACAACCTATGTGTGTGAAGACAAGAATGGCAACTCACCTTGATGTACTATTCATCTACTAGGTTTTTGAATTGCAAAATTATTTACTTTAATCGGAATATGAGGTGTCCATGTTCAAGATGTATCTATTTGTGTATATATAAGGTTTGTATCCACTTTTACAAAATCAGTCTGAAGGAAGAAAACACACACACACACACACACACATATATATATATATATATATATACATACATATATATATATATATATAATTGCTAGCAATCCATTAAATAGAACCACATAAAGTATACCTACATGGCACATAACTTTTTTTTTTTCTGAAATGATAGAGATATTATGTAAAAGCACACAAATGTGAAAAAGTAC